TATGCGTGCTGCTGCCATTGTTGGTAGTCCCTTGCATTCTCCGAACAGCGCGAGCAGAGGTTTGTGGTCGGTTATCAATTCGAATTTCCCCCCCCAAAGGTATTGGTGGAATTTCTTTACTCCGTACACTAGACTCAAAGCCTCCTTTTCTATCTGTGAGTAGTTCTTTTCCGCTGCAGAGAGCGTTCGAGAAGCAAAAGCGATGGGATGTTCTTTCCCATCAGGTGTCGTGTGCTGAATGACAGCTCCGATCCCATTAGCAGAAGCATCACATGCGAGTGTAAGTGGCAGGCGCGGGTTGTAATGGGTTAATACATTGTCACTTGTCAACAGTTCTTTACACTTGTCAAACACGCTCTGCTCATCTTTACTCCATTTCCATTTTGTTTTCTCCTTCAGCAGTCTGTAAAGTGGGGCTAAAACTGTACTTTGGCGTGGTACAAAACGTCCATAGTAGTTCACGAGACCTGGGTGCTGGAGCATCATGAATGGCCCTGACCTAGTCTTTGGATGAGTAGACTCCTTTTCCATCCAGCACGTGCCCAAGGTACTCGATCTGCATCTTACCAAAGTCACATTTAGTCTTCTTCACTCTCAGACCATTCTCTTTCAGCCGCTGAAGAACTTTGTCCAGGTTCGTTAAGTGCTCAGATTCGTCTCGGTCCATCACGAGCAAGTCATCGATGTAGACCACCACGTTGAGGTCTTTCATTAGATTCTCCATTATCCTTTGGAAAATACTGACAGCCGAGTTGACACCAAAACACAGTCTATTGTACACAAACAGTCCTTTGTGTGTATTGATTGTAGTAAATTTTTTTGAGTCGTCATCGAGAAGAATTTGTTGATAAGCTGCAGCCAAATCTATTTTGGAGAATATTTTCCCACCTCAGAGTGTGGCTAACACCTCCTCGATGCATGGTAGTGGATATGTCTCTGTGTTAATAGCTTGGTTCACTGTTATCTTGTATCCTTGTCTCGCCTAAGTAGCCCTTTAGTGCTACACTACTTTCCTCTAGTGGTATATGAGAAAATGACCGTTCATACACGTTTTCAGAGATAATGCTGACTCCTGCTCCCGTGTCAATTTCCGTTGGAACCTTCCTTCCATTTACATCAAAAATGGCCCTGTATGGTCTACGGCCGCCATTAGCACTATACACGTGGACATGGAACATGGGAACATCATCTTTCTTTTCATCATTTTGCACATAGCACATAGCATTTTACTAAATGTTCTCTCATTGCTTATCTTCTTCCCCCTTTTCTTGCTCTTATCGTCAGATGCAGGTGCCCGAGCCCGACATGCCTTCTTTATATGACCAACTTTACCACACTGATGGCAGTTTGAAGTCTTGTAGAAGCAGTCATTTGCACTGTGATTCATGCCTTTACATCGGTAGCATCCACTTTGGTGTGCGGGTGAGCGTCGTCTCCTTTGGTTCTCTTTAACCTTGTGCACAGGCGTGGTGGCATCTTCACCTTTCCTCAACTGCTGTGCATCACGGTGGGCAGTCTCCATGTTGACAGCAAGCTCCACGGCTCTTGCAAACGACAGGCCATCCTCTGAGAGTAACTTGCGTTGCAAAGCCTCCAAAGCAACACCGCTGACGAAGCCATCACGTAGAGCCTCGTCCAGTCAGTCCCCGAAATCACACCTTGTAGCGAGTTGACGTAGCTCAGCGGCAAATTCAGTAACCGTCTGGCTGTTCTTCTGCACACATTTCCGGTATCTGAAACGCTCCGATATCACCAATGGCTTGGGCTCATAGTAATTCCTCAACGTGGAAACAATTTCCGCAAAAGTCTTGTCTCTGGGCTTGGCAGGTTGCACTAAATTACGGCGAAGTCCATACGCTGATGCGCCCAAGTAGCTCAGTAAAACGGCAACTTTCTTGTCGTCGTTGACAGCATGCGCCTCGAACAGCAGTTCCATGCGCTCCACATAGGCAGACCACGATTCATTCTCGGGTTTAAACTCGTCCGGTCTTTGAGAAAAGTAAGCCATCTTACCTCACCACACATTAGAGTTCTGCCTACTACCCTAAAATCGACTTTTACTCGTCGCCAGATGTTGTGTCTTGAATGACGAGGCACACACACGCGTTTTCTATTATGTATTCGACCGTCGAGTTCCGCCATTAACAACGTGGGGAAGAGACTAGACCAGGGGTGTCAAACATACGGCCCGCGGGCCGGATCCGGCCCGCAAAGGAGTTTAATCCGGCCCGCGAGATGATTATGTAAAGCAGGGGTGTCAAACATACGGCCCGCGGGATAATGTAAAAGTGAAAAAAATGCATTAAAGACACAGAATTAATATTTTTAATCAGGTGCAATTCATTGAGTATCCGCAAGGGGACACTGTTTTGATCAGAGAAGAAGACAACAGCAGCCTCAGTCTGTCACTGAGACAGACCCATGACAGCAGACGCTATCAATAGCACTCTCACATTTACACATTTAATAGCACTCTCCTTAGTTTGTAAGGTGTAGGCAGGGATTACATTTAGATTTTATATGCACGTGTAAATGCTTTAAAACTTGCTTTCTTTATGAATCTTGTTTAATCTTAAAGTGCATTACTATATTTTTCAATACCAATTACTTGTTAAAGTTTGTACAATCAGTGGGATCAGTTGCAATGCATATATGTGAATGATAAAAGTAAATTGCACATTTGTCGAAGGAAATGTAAGGTGCTTCATGAAATGTTTTGTAAAAGATATGTTCATTAAATTTCAACATTTTCCTAATGTTCTTGTGCTTCTTTATACCAAAACAAAGGAAAGACATATTGTTTTGGTTATTTATAGCAAAGTATTGTATCATTTTAATGGTCCGGCCCACTTGACATCTACCGAGGCCGTATGTGGCCCACCATGTGAAATGAGTTTGACACCCCTGGACTAGACATTCCAGGTAACATTTCACACATGCGCAGTAGATGGCAATACAAAGTATGGGAAGTCAATGCGTCCAAACAACATACACATAACTATGGTGGCTAATACACCACATATACAAGTGGTGAGCACGTCTGCTTCACAGTTCTTGTGCTTTGAAATTAAATTGCAGATGCTCAGGCTTCCTCTGGCATTCCAAAACCATGCATATTAAACAACCATAAGACAGAAAAAAAAATGTAAAAAAAAAAAAACAAATTAAAAAAAAAACACCTCA